CTTGGTGAAGAAAAATAAAATATAAGAATGATCATAAATTATAAATATATAAATAAATACATACATACACACATACATTATGTAGGTTTTTTTTAAACTCTTTTTTTAATTCTCAGAAGGCAATCAGGAAGTAGAGAGTGAAGCTTGTGGATAAGGACAGGAATGTTAATGTGTTCATCTCAGYATGTATTGTTGATTTGACCCCTGTATGTCTCACCATTCCTGCTTGTCACAAACAGTAAGTGTGCAGACAAACTCAAGACACTATTTGTGCTTCTCCTCGTGTCATTAGTTCAGGACTGAAGTTTAAGAAGTTCAGAATCCACTTACTCTGTTCTCTTATTTCATCCTTTCACTTTCTTTAATRTGATATAGATCAGCCTTTTTCTTCTTTTTTTCTTTAGAAAGACAAGATTAGCACTGACGTCTCCCAGCTGGAGTTCTTCCCACACTCACATGCAGCCAAAACAAGGTTCTCACCTAACCTCCAGCATGACTGAGACAATAACAAAAAAAAAAAAAAAAAAAAACCCTCAAGACAGCACTCACATATGACCACTCTGACATCCAGAAGTTGTATTCTTGGCACCGGGTTTGTCGTCTGCACAGCTTCAGACACTTATTCACCTTTCAAGTTGAAGCTGAACATTCCTGCTGGTAGAAATCTGTTTTTGCACAGCAGAGGAGCTGACCTGCTGCTGCCCTGAGTGACGCTGCAGAGCAGGAGGACAGGATTTATCCCAGCGCTCGGCCCCCCCATGTCTGCGAGACGCTCTCACTGAATGAAATACCACTCCTAAACGACACAGACAACTCTGTGAAAGCAGGCGCACGGAGTGTGTGAGAAACACAAACCYGTGTACAGAAGACTTTTTTCATCTTTTTTCTTTTCTTACGTGGATTCCTGCACTTTTCATTGATTGTGTGTTAGTTTTGAGGTTTCTGTCTGCCCCGCAGACGTGCACCTGACAAATGGATCGGTCAGCAAGGTCCTTTTTTTTAACTTCTCTGATCAGAGCTTTTGTTGTGCAAAGGGTCACACACTCACTGTGCTCCATTCACACGTGCACTAATCTGCTTTCTGTCAGCTGCCATAATGATGTTTGTATCTTTAAGAGACTTTTCCCCTTCAGTTTTACACACTTAAAAAGTGAAATAAAACAGAAAGCAGTAAATCTTTTCAGTCCATCTGATAAACCAGGATTCAGTTAGTACTGCTTCAGTACAGGAACATTAACTCCTGATTTAGCAAACAAACAAGTAGAAGATAAAAAGAAAATGTTTCAGGTTCTGTAAAATTTCTCYGAGGCCTAAGCTACAGACGACAGTATGGGAAGGGATCATAACTTTCTCAGAGGCAATAAAAAATAAATAAAAAGTCTGCAAGTGTGGTCCAGACAAGAAATGGCATTTAAACAAATTATTAGCAACACATGTCAAAATATTTTTAGAGAAATTAATGAGATGGGAAAAAGTGCCAGGAAGAATGCAGCATATRCTGTCACAATAAAGAGCAAGTTCCAATTTTTTTATGTTTGCTTATGTAGATAATCTGTGAACTATCAATATCTTACCTGTTGTAGATAGCTTTTAAAGGGGACATCTCGTTGATCAAAATCCACTTTTTTAGCCATTTGTTGTGTACTTGGAGTCTCTAGGAGTGCAAAAAATTCAAATTTAGTTTCTGCTGGTACTGCATAAATATCTATATATTCTGTTTGGGTCATATTTTTCAAGCCGTTCAGTTTTCTCTATTTTCTACAATATTTTCTGGACTCACCAGCTACAATTTCATTGTCTTCACTCACCTCTGGCTCTGTCAGATTTTGGCTCCAGCGTAAGGCTGGATGGAGTTTTCCCTTGTTGACATCTTTTAATTAATTTGTAAATAAAATGTTTCTGTGCAGCTAAATAGTCATAAACCCCTCTATCAAACTGGAATGGACCGGTCTGAAAGATGGAGGGGGGCATGGTGTGAAGCGCCTCATTTGGTTTTCAAGAGACGGCCTCAAACTGAGTTGATCTGAGACAAACCTCAGAAAAGGGGGCTTGTGGAGTTACAGTAAGGAGGAACTCAAACCAAAGCTTTGCAGTTCCACATTTTATAGACCCCAACTGAATGATTTAAAGGTGAAACGGGATTTAAAACCAGAATATGTCTCCTTAAATAAATTCAAGTAGCTGTAGAAATGTTTGTAAATACAATAAGTATGTTAAAAAACTGAGTGTAGAGTAAATGTTTTTAAAGTACTGTTTGCAAAACTCATTTTAAAATATGTTGATTTTTTTTGAGCAATTTACTTCAGTCTCATCCTTTAGAACTGATAATTTTCTGAACAGAGGTTCAGGTAAAACAATAACTGTTCATCAATTTTCCACAAAACCCCAAATGTCTGAACTTGTGTTTTCAGCGTGGCGTTTAGTATTATGGTAAACACCGTCATCATTCCAGTCAGATGAGCTTGTGTTTTGGTTTCGCTAAGAAAATCATCCGCAGCAAGCAGCTGCTGCACATGAGTTGAAAGCGCTTTAAGTGCTCCCATCATAGCACATCAGCGCAGGTTATAACTCCTTCTTCCTTTATAATGCTTGACCTGGCAGCAGGTTGTCATCTTGGTATGAAAGGAGCTCTGTCATTCCAGCTCCTGCCCTTTTCCTTCCGCCGCTATTAACATGTGTCAACACGGGCACAGCGGTGGCACACAAATGAACTCTGTCAGCACAGTCAGATGTTTGGAGCGAGCGGCAGCAGTTGCAGTGCTTTCTCACAGACTCCAACTGGCTGTCCTCGCTGTTAGCATCCTGAACCTGTTAACTTGACCCTCCCCAGGCCCCCGCGCCCCTCCCCTCGGTCCTTAACGCCACGATTTTCCCTGAAACAGCTGCGGAGCGATGTTAAGTACCGCATGATGTGCTGCTAAATGCTCCCCTCTGAATGTAAGAAATTCTTCACGTGTGAGGCTGAGGAGCTCCAATCATCATTTCCTGTGTTGCACAGAGGCCAGAGGAACATTTAACAGTTGCTATAGCTGCGCTGGCAGAGAAGAGTGTCAGGGAGACAGAGAGAGTCATAAAAAGTGATGCAATAAGCACCAGTGAAGCTATTATGTGTTTGATTCTGGGAGCATGTGCAGAGTCGAACACACTATCAGTGATATTTCTAAGTGCTGAGTTACCATTTCTGACTAAAAGCAAACACATTCCCTTTGCATGCAAACAGCTTACAAATGTATACTTATGGACTTTGCAGAATGTATTTGGCTCTTCTTTGCACAGTTTGTGGGCGTCTTTGACATCTGTGAAAAGACTTAACATTCTTACAGGTGGAGTTTAGCACATCTGATCAATCAAACAGGAAACACAGCACCTGTGTTAATACAACTGTCAACATAGAGCAGAAACACAAAACGAAAATACAGAAGAACCCATCTTTCTGCAGAACAAAAGCTTTTAAAAGACATTCATACGTGTGTGAAGACTGAAACTTTTGAAGGAAATAGCACATTCTCATWTTTGCTTTCAGGCAGGACTAAATARAAACACTGAATAAAACAAACAGTTTTATGAACTGAATTCTCTCCACGATAAACATCAATAGACAGATCAGTGTTTTACTTTGTGATGTAGAAACTTGGTAGTAAATCAGTAAGAAACRTAAACATATCGATATTTTCACCAGCTGAAGTGTGAAGAAACATGCAGCAACACGGTGCATGTTTGCAGCATTACAACTTCTCATATATGAGTTTGGTTAAAGTTAAATGTCCATGATGAATAATAAAATGCATACTTAACAGTTTTTTTTAATAATAAGGCTGTAATAACAGACTTTTCATATAACGACTTTTCTCAGCAATCAAGCACATGACTTGAATAACCTCACTTGTTAGGACATGCCAATTCTTTTTCACTTTTCACTTTTATTGTCTTTCATCCATCATAAAGACACATCTGTGAAAGTGATGGAATCAGCTGTGGTGCACACACAGTATTTGTTTTTAAATGAGGCGTTTAAAAGTCAAAATCGTCCTGGAGTCGCAAATTTTAAGTAAAAACAGATCTTTCTGTGAGCTGTGCATGTGGACAGCTTTACTGCATCAAACAGGTAGTTTAATGAGAGGCCAAACGWACGTTATGTGGACTTTTAACACAGAGAAACATTTGCAAATTTAAAGGAATCAATGACTTGTACGATTATTGGCATGGCAAGGTTGAAGCTTGCTCATTTTAAAATAACTGTTTAAGTCATTTTCCCTGCTTTTGCACCACCATGTAGTATTTATTTGAAGTCTTGGCAATACAACAGCACAGTGGTTAGCACTGATGCCTCACGGCAAGCAGGTCCTGGGTTTGATTCCCTTTTTGAACCAGAGGTATTTCTGTGCGGAGTTTGCATGTTCTCCTCGTGCTTTCATGGCTTTTCTCTGGTTATTCTGGTTTCCTGTCATAGACAATAAATA